CAACTTCGGAGGGGCTGCAGCTAGACCCGTGCAACGCGCGGACGAGTGGGCGCAGCTCCGCGCGAACCTTGCCCAGATCATCGCCCTGTGCGAGTGCGACGACGAGGCCTGCGCGGTACTCAGTGGGGAGCGCGACGCGAGGGACAGTGCAGCCGCTGTTGCGGACGAAACGTTTCGGAATCGGACTCACTACAACTACTTGTGCATTAAGGGCGGCGAGCCATCAGGGACCCTCCTTGTTGGCATCAGGGACCGCAGTGGCGGCCACATTGAACGCGTCGGCTTTGCGAGGCTCTTCCACAAGCAGGAGAAGTCCAACGCGAAGAAGAAAAATAACAAGTCCGCAGTTGTGGATGTTCCTGCGCCAAAGTGGCACAACAAGTACTCCAGGGCGATGGTGGTGCGCGTCCACCTGGGCCAGGCCGCGCCCCATCTGGGGGGTTCCTTCAACGTCATGGCGGCGCACGTCCACCACAGCTTGGCCAACCAAGACTGGGGCGTCACGAAGCTCCATGAGTTCTACAACTGGCTCGTCGCCTACGTCAGGGATTGGAACGTGAAGGTCTGCATGGGGGACTTCAACATGTGCATGTTCCAGCTTGTGCCCTGGTGCCGCATTGCGGCCTGACTGTGGACGTCGCCGCGTGGACCCCCTGGAAGACAGCAGGCGGCCAGCCCAGGGCAGACAGCATGGCGATTTTGTTCATAAACTGTCCTGGGCAGTACAATCTTCACCATGGCCTGGGTGTTCTGCACGACCGTGAGGGCGGATTCTTGACGACCCAGCATGATCCGTCTTTCCCTGTCTTCGACTACACGAATGGCCCTGGGAAGATGCTTCAGACTTACGTGCCCAAGGCTGAGCCCGTTGAAAACAAGATGCGCGCCTTCCTGACGCCATCTGGCGAATCCTTGACCGCAGTTGCGGAGTTCGAGCACAGGATGGCGCGCAGGGAACGCGACGATTGGGTGCGCCATCCCTTCAGAGTGAAGCAGGGCAACCTCGACGACAAGATATGGCATGGCGCCTTCGGCAGGGCGAGGCACGGAGCGCACTTCCCGCTGGTGGCTTTCACGCACAATACGTGCCGCAGGTCACCTGAAAGACTCGCCGCGAGGTTGGAACGCAGGAAGGGCGGCAAGAAGGGCGGCAAGAAGGGCAGCTACGCGGACACCGCAGTTGCGGGGAAGGGCGTCCGACCCCAGATGGGAACCGCAGTTGCGGGGAGAGACGCTGGGGCTGAGCGAGCTGGGAACTCGCCACCGCCGCAAGCTGCCAACGGCGACGATGCGACCCCTTCTTGGGCCGCAGTGGCGGCTGGGTCCTGGGACGCCAGCGGCAGCGGCGCATGGGAGGCGCGCAGTCCCGCCACGAGATGGCAGGGCTGGTCCTGGTGGGACTGGAGCTAGAGCGAATGGGGCGCTGATGGCGCGCAGTGGTGGCCCTCTGATCATGCCGCAGTTGCGGACAATGCCCCTGAGGGCTCGCCTCCTCAGCGTGAAGTCGAGTGGGGCTCGAGCGGGCGACCTGCCGAGCGCCCTCCGTGGAGCTTCGAGGCGCAGCGTTGGTGATGGCCGCAGTTGCGGGCAAGTGGAGCACGATGTTGATTGCCGCAGTTGCGGACAGTGTACGCTGGAAAAATCATCATCATCATCAATCATAATCATCATCATATCATCATATCATACGTTCAAAGCAGTGCCGGGGCACTGCTTTGAACGCGTTCAAAGCAGTGCCGGGGCACTGCTTTCGATCGTCGCCTCGTCGCAGTTATAAGGGCTATTGGATTATCGAGAATGGACACCCCCCCATCGTATATCCCAGGGTTAGGCCCCAAATTTCTGGTCCATTCGGAAACCCCACAGACCGGTTCGGATGCAACTCCTGGGAGGAGGGAAAGAAACACACAGACACAATTAATCGGCGATCCCCCAGAAAATATAGGAAAATATGGGAAGTTGGGGGGGGAGACAAAAACCCAGAAAATATGGGGAAATATGGGGAATCTTTGAATTTGTGCGTATTTATTTGTGTGTCCTGGGGCCCCTTCAATTTAGCCCTGGTCCGAAATCCCGCTGAATCCGGTTTAATCCGGCTGAATCCCGCTTACTCCGGCTGAATCCCGCTGAATCCCGCTGAATCTGGTTTAATCCCGCTTGATCCGGGTCCCACTCTGGCTTAACAGCCCCTCAACGGGGCTCAATCCTTTTTATCCTTCCGGCGAAAAGCTCCCAGTAGTTGCCTCCTACCACTCGAAGAAGAAGAAGCGCCATAAACGTCAGCTTTTGGCGCTCCGCGCAGGGTTTCTTGGGTCTGCGCTGGGCCCCCCCTGGCGGTGCCTCTGGCGCGCTCCGCGCGCCAGGGAGGGGGGTCCAGCGCAGATCCAGGAAATCCAGCGCGGAGCGCCACAAGTTTGTGTTTACGGCGTTTTTCTTCTTCTATGGATGCGATCGGAGGATCGCGCCGTACAGCGCCGAAGCATCGCCGATGCGGCTCGAGGTGGAGCCCGATTTGCTTCGCATGGACGTCGCCGACGCATCGCCCACGTCGGAGATGCATCGCCGGTGCATTGCCGGTGCATCGCCGATGCATCTCCGATGCATCGCCGATGTATCAGCGATGCCGCGCGATCTTCCGACCGCTACTCTGACCCCATCTGGGAGGCCTCTGTCGGCACGATCGAGATGGGCACGGAAAGAATGGTCGGGTTTTCGGAATCGGGGTTCTAGGGGTGCTCGGGCGGTTTCGTCGGTCCCCGTCGGCTGTCCAGCCTCGGGATGCCTTCCCGCCGGCGCGCCTCGCCGAGGTCGTCACGGGGGTGTCGGGATCGCCCCGAGCGGCCGCCAGAGTCCCGAGCTTGTGACCCGAAGACCATCAGGGTTCGGGTGTTGCTAGAAGTGCCCCTGGCCCAAGGCACTCCCAGGATTTCCAAGGAAGGCCCCCACGGCCTCCAGAGCACCCCTCGCGAGGCCCAGAGGGCCCCAGGGTTACAGATGGAATGAAAAGCGGGGAGCACCTCGGGCCAGGGGCACCTTCAGCAACTCGAAAGTGATACGAAGACAGGCATCAGTTCCTATTCATTTTGAGCAGTGTTCGCTGTCGGCGTCGCCGCGGGCCTTGGCCTTTTGAGACAGGAGGCCGCCTGCCCAACAGCGGCCGCTGTGTGTTTTGGACAACATGTGTTTTTGGGCATCGTACCCACTTTTTCTGTACCCATTTCGGGCGTCCAAAAAGGCGCTCCGGTGCTTCGCGCAGTCCCTCCCGGAGGTTGCCAAAGCCGTCCCTGGCCTAATCGGGTATTGAGAAGAGAACGCCCACTCAGACAAGTCGTCTGAGGGAATTTGCACTGCTTAACTCGACATTCGCATGTACCTGGCGGGTTTCACTGATGGACGTGCGTCTCGCCAGATATATTTGGCTGCTTCTGGATGTCGATTTGTGGTTCCGCCCAGAGGCACTCGGAATACGTTGGCCGCAGCCTCCCGTGGAGGGACCCGGCAGTTGTCGCTTGAGGGCGTTTTGCTAAAGGGGGTTCTGTCAGTCCTCGACCTGAGGCTCCTAGGTAGCGCTACAGTGGAGGCCCATGCCAAGAAACACCCTGCTTGCCTCCAGGGTGCCCTGGGTTTCTTGGGTTTCGATGGTTTTCCGATGGAAACCGTGACGTTTCCACACCAAAAATCAATGGACGTCCTGTGGTCTCAGGGTTGGGTTTCTTGTAGAAGGTTTCTTGTGGACTGGCCTCCACTGTAGGGGTGGATAGGCCAAGGGGGATGCATTGCCCCCGCAGCGCCGATAAGCAGGGGCCCGATGGGCAACACCACCCAGGTCCGGGGGAGTCGCCATCGGTGGCATGTCGCCGATTTAGCGTGGATGTTTAATGCCGATGCAGGCAGGGTCGACGTCTCCCCTCTAAGCCTGGAGCCCGTACCCCCAAACGTCCCCCATCGGCGGCATACCGCCGATCCAGCGTGGATTTGTTTTGCCGATTCGGGGTCGGCGTTTCCCCTCTAAGCTCGAAGCCCGTTCCCCCTCACGTTCCACATCTCCCTGGCCCAAGGTCGGCGGCGAGTTTGGGGGAGACGTGAGAAGGGGCGGGCTTTCTCAGAAAACTCCGAGAAGGTCTCTAAGAAGACGGACAATACAGGAGGCTCAGAAGATTCAGAGGACCCTCAGAAGGAAGGGACAAGTCCCTCGGCCCTCACAGAAGGCTTCGAAGCCTTCCCGGGCGACATCGAGAACCTCCCAGAATGACGCGAGGCTTTTGGAGAAGCCCCGCCGTTTTCTGATGATCTAGGCTTCCCAGGTGGGTTCGGAATAGATGGGGTCGGAGGATCGCGCCGCATCGCCGATACATCGCCGCATCGCCGATGCATCGGCGATGCGGCCGCGATTTGGAGCCCGATTTTCTCCACCCCGACGTCGCCGATGCGTCGCTGACGTCGCCGATGCATTACCGACGTTGCCGATGCATCGCGGATGCATCGGCGATACATCGGCGATTCAGTGCAATCTTCGTACCCATCTAGTCGAACCCCCACTAGGGTGCCTCTAGAGAAGGCCTGTTCCTTCTCACTTCCTCCTCCCTCGCCCGCCGCCAATGAGGGTCCCTCCAGGACCTCCAGGAAGGCCCCCACTGCCTCCTTGGAGATCCTGGGGACGCCTGGGGCCAGGGACTCCAGGCCTCCCGGATGGGGTCCAAGCAGATGGGGCCACAGGGTCGCGCCGCATCGCCGATGCATCGGCGATGCATCGGCGATGCGGCTCCATGCGGGCCCCAGTTTTCCACACGCTGACGTCGCCGATGCATCGCCGACGTCGCCAGTGCGTCGCCGAGATGCATCGGCGATGCATCGCCGATGCGTCGCCGCGGCATAGCGGCGATGCGGCGCCACCCTCCGACCCCTTCCACTCCGAGCCCACCCAGGAGGCCTCCACAGGAGGCCCCCACGGCCTCCTCGGAGATCCTGGGGTCGCCCGGGGCCAGGGACACCTCTGGCAGCCCCTGGCCCTCGAGTCCGCGCCGGCCTTCCCAGAGCCCGCCGGGGCCCCGCCGGCAGGGAGCGCCGGCGGCTGAGCCAGGAGGAGGCCAGTCGAGGCCACGGCGGCCCAGACCCGGGGGTTGAGTCGGGCATGTCCCTCTGCAGGGGGAATGTTTGAAAATAGTTTTAAAAAATAGTCTGGGAACGAACCTTTGACTAGTTCTGGCATTTCCCAACCATCCTGTGTGGTGTTGGGTCCTCGCTGTGAGGAGACAGCGCCCCGCGTTCCTCCTCCTTCCTTCCTTCCTCCTCCCCCTCCTCCCCCTCCTCCTCCTTCTCCTCCTCCTCCTCCTCATCCTCCTCCTCCTCCTCCTCCTCCTCCTCCTCCTCCTCCTCCTCCTCCTCCTCCTCCTCCTCCCCTCCCTGCCTCTGCTCTCCACATCCCCATCCCATGTCGGCACACCCCTCACACGTTTCGTGGCCCCATTGGGAGCTCCACCTACGTAAGGCTCCAATGGGAAAGTTTGCATGGCACCGCCGCCCCATTTCGGCACACCCCTCACAAGTTTCGTGGTCCCATAAGCAGCTCCACCTAAGGCACACCCCTCACACGTTTTGTGGCCCCATAGGGAGCTCCACCTAAAGCCCCAGTGGGAAAGTTCGCATGGCACCGCCCCTCCATTTCGGCACACGCGTCACACGCACAACTCTCACGCGCTTCGTGGCCCCACAGGAAGCTCCACCTAAGGCCCCAGTGGGAAAGTTCGCATGGCACCGCCGCCCCATTTCGGCACCCCTCACACGCTTCGTGGTCCCATACGAATCCCCACCTAAGGCCCCAGTGGGCAAGTTCGCATGGCACCGCCGCCCCATTTCGGCACACCCCTCACACGTTTCGTGGCCTCATAGGGAGCTCCATCGAAGGAGCCATTGGGAAAGTTCGCATGGCACCGCTCCTCCATTTCGGCACACGCACCTCACACGCTTCGTGATCCCATAGGACGCTCCGCCGAAGGCCCCAGTGGGAAAGTTTGCATGGCACAGCCGCCAAATGTTGGCACACGCCTCACACGTTTCGTGGCCCCACAGGAAGCTCCACCTAAGGCCCCAGTGGGAAAGTTCGCATGGCACCACCGCTCCATTTCGGCACAACCCACACGTTTTGTGGCCCTATAAGGAGCTCCACCTAAAGCCCCAGTGGGAAAGTTCGCATGGCACCGCCGCCCCATTTCGGCACACCCCTCACACGTGTTGTGGCCACATAGGGAGCTCCGCCGAAGGCCCCAGTGGGCAAGTTCGCATGACACCGCCGCCCCATTTCGGCACGCCCCTCAGACGTTTCGTGGCCCCATAGGGAGCTTCACCGAAGGCCCCAGTGGGCAAGTTCGCATGGCACCGCCGCCCCATTCCTGCAGACCCTTCAAACGTTTCGTGGGCCCATAGGGAGCTCCACCGAAGGCCACTGTGGGCAGCTCCGCCGAAGGCCCCTGTGGGCAAGTGCGCATGGCACCGCCGCCCGATTTCGGCACACCCCTCACACGTTTCGTGGACCCGTGGCACCGCCGCCCCATTTCGGCACACTCCTCACACGTTTCGTGCTCTTATGAGGAGCCCCAATTGAGGCCCCAGTGGGAAAGTTCGCATGGCACCGCCGCCCCATTTCGGCACACCCCTCACACGTTTCGTGGCCCCAAAAGGAGCTCCACCTAAGGCCCCAGTGGGAAAGTTCGCAGGCGTCTTTTTGACTCATGTCGGCAGACCCTTCACACGTTTCGTGGCAGGAGAGTATACATCGTGCGTTACTCGGAGTTTGCGCGCCACCCTCTTTCGTCTCATCTCCCTCGCGGCACTCGCAGCTGCATATGGTTCGGCCCTTCGTCAGGCAAATTGTGGTTGATCATCTATTTTGATGTTTTGAAATGTTCGTTCAACATCCGCCTGTCGGAGGACATGGCCGACCTAAAACTAGGAGCTCCGCGCGGATTTCTTGGATACGCGCTGGACCTCCCACCTTGGCGCGCGGAGCGCGACAGGGGCCGCGCTGGAGGCGCCGCCAAAGGGGCCCCAGCGCCGATCTGAGAAACCCGCGCCGTCCTTCGAATTATTTGTTTTTTTATCATTGTTCGCTCCCTTGTAAGACACTGAGATCCTGACTTGGAGGGCCAAGCGTACCTGCTTCCAGAAGGCCATAACATCTGGGGCCGATGCCAAATGCCGTTCTCACGTACTTGTCCAACGCGTCCATGGACACATTGGGTGCCGTGACGTCCATAGACACTTTCAGGGTGGATACGTTTATGACAACATGGCCGTTGCGTTCGGCGCCGTACAAGGTCGGAGAAAAGGTAGATCCGTCTACGGGATGTTCCTGTTCTCGAGCAGGTCCTAAATGGTACTCCAAATCTTGGCGTCTCATTTTTTGTCGAGGTGGCCGTTTTCGTTTTTTTCCTTGTTCAGGTCCGTGGGCCCTCACGGATCAATCTGGCTCGGATAATGACGCTGACCAATGGGGTCCTGGGGTTCCAGGCGTAATTTTGTACGATGCCTCAATTGTTCCGATACGTCGGATCTCGGGGCACCTGATGGAAGTCGGAGCACGTGTTGACATAAACACACCTGTCGGTGGTTGGAAGTACACCTTAGGCGATGCTTAAGAAAACCTAAGTTTTCGGCCAGAGTCTCGATCATTCTTAACGTTTCAATGTAAATCTTAAGATTTAAATTGAAATGTTGGGTTCTGATTCAAGTTCTGAGACTATGAATTTCTTAACCCATGATTTCTTGAGCATTTCGCAGGGTGTAGATATTTATCTCCCGATCCCAATTCATGATGGTTGCCTTCCTACTTCAAGAGTCGAATGGATTTCCCTCTTCCCTCATACAGGGTGCGGGCGGAAGCCCAATCTGTTTTCAACGCCTTTCTTCAGGCCATCGAAATCGTGGATCAAGGGGGCGTGGATGAGCGACGGGTCCCGTTTCCATGGGACATCGTGGATTTCCGCCGCCGAACGAGGCGGCACCAGCCGCATTTTGGGGAGGACTTTTCCCCCGATCCATGCTTGCGCGCCCCCGATTCGTACATCCTTCTTCTGCCCACTTCTTCCAGCTGACGGGTAGACTTTCGGAGATCCGCGCGGACTTCTGGGATCGGCGCGGGAAGACCTCAGCGGCGCCGCCCCTGGCGCGCTCCGCGCGCCAGGGAGGGGGTCCCAGCGCCGATCCAAGAAATTAGGCAGGCAGGTAGGCTTGGCCCTCCAAGACAGGACCTCAGGGTTTTAGAAGAACGAACAGTGACATAAACATAATTATTCGGAGGTCCGCGCGGATTCCTGGGATCGGCGCTGGGGCCCCCCTGCCGGCGCCTTCAGCGCCGCCCTTGTCGCGCTCCACGCGCCAGGGAGGGGTGTCCAGCGCGGCGCCGATCCCAGAAATTAGCCCGGACGTCCGAAAGTTTATGTTGCACGCCTGTCGTTGAAAGCAGGCATGCTCGAACTCTCAGATCCCAGCCTACCTGAGCCGCCTTCCGACTTCAAGAGTTCTACAGGCGGGATCTTTCGAAATAGTCAAGAAAACAGTCGGGGGACGATTCTTTGAATATGTTCTAATATTTTTTTACTTTTTTCGTTCCTCGCCCAAAATCCGCCTGTAAAAGGACACGCCCGACCTAAGAGTCGTGTCATCCAGCCCCGTGAAGCCCCCAGTAGCCCAGGAAGATCGACGAGCGCGTTCCACTACTCGCAAAGTAACTACTTGCAGATGGCCTGGCTCCGCCGCGGGGGATTTACGATATATTACACACATGCAGACGTATGGCTTGTCGGACGTTTGCGAGTAGGCACTTTGCGAGTAGTGGAACGCGCTCGGCGAGAAGAGCACAGACGACCTCGCCAGGGAGAGCCGCCAGCCTCCGCCGGTCCTCCCGCGAGCAGAGGGAGCCGCCGCGCCACCCCGCAGCCGAGGCCGCCGGGCCCCCGCCAGCGGCAGCGCTGCGGCTCACGGAACGAGCGGAGTGGGCAGTGGAGGGGCGGGGACAGAGGCTCAGAGGAGGAAAAGGCACCCATGCCTTTCCAGGCCTCCTGGATGGGGTCGGGGCAGATGGGGTCGGAGGATCGCGGCGCAGCGCCGATGCATCGCCGATGCGGCTCGATGTGCAGCCCGACTTGCGTCACGTCGACGTTGCCGACGTATCGCCGACGTCGACGCTGCATCGCCGGCGCATCGCTGAGGCATCGCCGATGCATCGCCGATGTATCGGCGATGCGGCGCGATCCTCCGACCCCATCTACTCCGACCCCATCTAGGAGGCCTCTCACCTCTACCTTCCCCTCGTTTTCCCCTTTTGGGGCCTCCTGGGTATTCGTCGTCGCCGCCGCCGGATTCACCTCGGAATCCTGGTCAGAAGGCACCCCACGAGAGGTCTGGGGAGTAGCGGCCTCGGTACTTGTTGGTTTCCCCAGTCGGGCCACGAAAGCAGAAGAAACAAACACTCCATACTGCGGAGACCCATGTCAAGAAACACCCCTCCAGGATGTCCTGAGTTTTTGTTCGGGTTTCGATGGTTTTGCAACGGACAAAAATCGATGGACGTCTTGGATTCTCAGGGTTGGGTTGCTTGTGGAAGGTTTCTGTAGCCTTTACTGTAAACAAACTTTTGGCGCTCCGCGCGGATTGCTTGGATCCTCGGCCCCCCTGGCGGAGCCTCCGGCGCCGCCCTTGGCGTGCTCCGCGCGCCAGGGAGGGGCGTCTGGCGCGGATCTCTTGCATCAGCGCGGAGCGCCAAAAGTTGATGTTATTGTTGTTTATTTTTGTTCCTCTGGAAATCGGTACGGAAGGCACGGGGACAAAGACCGATAGCAGTCGGGCCAGACGAAAGAGTAGTTTAGGGAAAGGGGGGGGCACGAAAGCTGCGGCTTGCAGCCAGTTTTGCCGCCCCGCCGCGTGGCCCTTCTTGCTCGAGGCCTGGCGCCAGCTGCGCCAGCTGATTCTTTACCCAGCCCATTGCTTTCCTTCAAGCACTGGAGAAGCGTCCTGATTTGCCTACAGTCGGAGGCCTGGAAATGGGCACCAACACCACCACAGGGGCTTGCCTCCACAG